AATGTGGCACATATACACCATGGAATACTATGCAGCCATAAAAAAGGATGAGTTTGTGTCCTTTGTAGGGACATGGATGCAGCTGGAAACCATCATTCTTAGCAAACTATCACAAGAACAGAAAACCAAACACCGCATGTTCTCACTCATAGGTGGGAACTGAACAATGAGATCACTTGGACTCGGGAAGGGGAACATCACACACCGGGGCCTATCATGGGGAGGGGGGAGGGGGAGGGATTGCATTGGGAGTTATACCTGATGTAAATGACGAGTTGATGGGTACTGACGAGTTGATGGGTGCAGCACAGCAACATGGCACAAGTATACATATGTAACAAACCTGCACATTATGCACATGTACCCTAGAACTTAAAGTATAATAATAATAAAAAATAAATAAAAGAAAATAAAATAAATAGGGACATTACAGTACTTACATAGAATTAAATAAGACCATATTTATAAAGCGCTTAGAGTAGTACTTAATATATAGTAGGTTCTCAGTAAATATCAGCTATTATTAACTAGAGGGATTAAAATTGTTTTAATGTTTTTGTGATAAGTCAATCAATCCAGCAGGTTTTAATTGTCCTCAGATGGTCCAGTTAATCACACGGAAAGAATCTATGTGCACTGAGGGAGTTTGAACACTTAGAAGTAAAAAGTCACAGAAGAGTGTATGACTAACAGAAAATAAGTGAAATAATATAATTTCTACTAAAGAGGAAAAGGGAGTAGAAGGTATAGAAAATAATGTCACTCAAGAGTAAGTCTCTTGGAACAAAAGATAAAGAAGACAGAAACAGAAAAATGATGTCTCAAATCAATTTAGAACACAGTTGCAGTTTTGGGAGTCTGTGATCTAACTTTTGAACACATTAGCAACTTAAGTTGCCGTTTAATAAGATGAAATCATAGGTATATTAGAGTAGCCTCAGCCATCTGGTTGATTTTAATAAAGGCTTCAATTTTATTTTATCCATGTAGGATAAAATAAAATTTTATTTTGTGCCTCTTTTGTCCTCTTGTGGAAATAATTACACTGAAAATAAACTGTTAAAATAACAAGAAGAAATCAACTTACACTTAGCATCAAATACAGATCCAAGACTAATAACAGGCTGGTATTTTCTCACTGAGACTCTCTGCAAGACTGAAAAATACGGCCCTGTTATATCTGCCTTTGGAAAGCGTCACCAAGGAATCTAAAAAAAGCCACTGTGAGAAGTAATTTGTTGGCTTCCTGACACATCAGGCTCATTATTGGTGATCCGAGTTTCAGCCTTTGGTGTATCTGCAATTTTTGGGTAGGTCAGTAATGAAAGCTAGAAAAAAGAATGACTACGAAATCAGCCATAGAGGTTATTCACAAATTCTTTATGCCAATGTTATTGGGTGAGTGTTTTGTGTTTTCACATAGAGAAATCACAAAGCAGCCTGTCCAGGTAAATGAAGGGCAGCTTGGGTGGTCACCCCAAAACACATTTGACTATCCAAATCAGCAATGCAGCAATTAGTGCTCATAGCTCTAAACAAGTTATTGTGACAGAAGAGTCTTAGAGGAGACATAAAAATTGGACAGATAGATATGAGGAAGAATTTTATATTCGAGATAAGATTTTACCAATTTTCAAAGCAAATGCTTAAAACCAAGCAAAGATAAATCAATGTACAGTAGTAATGAAAGAAAGTACCTAATTAAAAAGAGTTAAATGGATTTATTTCCTCCCTTATGTTATAATTATTTAAAATACATTTTCCAAACACAAATATGTAATGATTTTATGATTTGTGAAATCAATGAGCTTTTGAAATGCTCTTGGTTTTGGCCAGAGTGCAGGGGTAAGGAAGGTGGGCAGTTCAGAAGGGGACATGCTAAAATCTTTAGGAATTAGTCCATAAAACCTCTATCAATTGGGCCTTTGTCAAAAGGGTGCAATACTACATGAGACTTGTTAGCTGACCACTGTAGCAGCTTCAATCTGTTTCCAATTGGAAAGAAAAACATTGGTGTGCTTACAGAAAGCATTTCCCAGGTTGAAGGCACAGTCAGTCTACCACAATCTTTTCTATGTTCTTTTCTCGAATGCTCAAGACTTCTAAAAACATTTGGGTGTGTACTTGGCATATTCAGAGTAATCAAATCTTACAAATATATGAAGTTTTGAGAGGTTTTAGCTACATTTCCAAACATCCATTCAGAACAGTTATCATGGACAGATGACAGATGCTATTCCTTTTTTCATTTTGTCACAGTAAATTAGGTTGAACAAGCGGACTACAGTGTTCACTTTAGTATTTTACCAGTTACATCAAGCATTTTTATGAACCTGTTGGACAGGCCTAGAAATAGTCTCAATAGTCATCTGGTACAGCTTGCTGCCTTTAGGAAGGTGATGTTTGATTCTTTAGTGTGGGTTAAATTTTACTGACCTCATACTGATAAGCCACATTTGAACATGCTTCACTATAACATCCATTCAGCTGGATCATGGGTCAAACATGTACATTTAATAAAAGATTAAAAAAATTCATAGTTATCCTAACTGTAAGTACAAATGTAGACTTTGTTCTAATGGGGATTCATTATATATTTATCTGTGAAATTTTCTTCCAAAGCAATTAATTTACTAGAGGTAAAATATCTAAATAAAGAAAAGGTCTGAAGGGTTAACAAAACTGCAATTATGCCTAAACCATGTCATACTAGTACTTTTTTGAGACAGGGTCTTACTCTTTTTACTCAGGCTGGAGTGTAGTAGCAGGAACATGGCTCACTGCAGCCTCAAACTCCTGAGCTCAAGTGATCCTCCAGTCCCAGCCTTCTAAGTAACTGGGACTACAGGTTCGTGTCACCATGCCCGGCTAATTTTTAAATTTTTGTAGAGACAGGGTCTTTCCATCCCAGGCTGGTCTTAAACTCCTGGGCTCAAGTGATCTGCCTTCCTCAGCCTTCCAAAGGGCTGGGATTACAGGCAGGAGTGACTGCGCCAGGCATCATACTACATTTTTAAGGTCACTATTGATAGGTCCAAAGGTAAGTAAGATTACAGATAACATAACACCATTTTTGGAACTACATGTTATATCAAGACCTTCAAGGACCTGAGACAGGAAGACAAAGACTAAACGACTAAGATGTGTTGATGTATCCATAGCTGAAAACAGCTATCAAAAGGCAGCAGACATCTGGGAAAGAGCTTTCTTTTTCGCATGGAGGCCAGAGATACATTGGCATTGCTTCTGGAATTGGAACAAAGCCAACTTTTAATTGGTTTTAAAATCTGGAATGAAACATTTTTCCAGTCATCCATGAACTGACCTTATCCTGTAGAAGTTGAGTGAATCTTGGCTAACCATCTGCCTTGTGAATTGTTTTGTTTGGGCCCCTTATGGGACAGAAAGTACTTGTTGTGCAGTAGTTTCACATCAAGTTACAGTCCTTTGTAATGCTGCCTGAGTAGAGAATTGAGAGAGAAAAAACCATGTCCAGGGAGAAAAATCTAATGCCTTCACTAACATGCCTTGGGGCTTTATGAACCTGCAAGGCTTGGAGTTACCACCTACTTTGCTCCATACCTTAGCATGATGGCTTCCAAAAAGAAGTAAAGCTTATTATTGGAGAAGATAGACAGCTGGACAAACAGACTGCATTCATGAGGGCCAAACAAGGTATTTTAAGATAGATTTAACTTAGAATTCCACTGGATTCACTATTGTAACACCAATGCCTCAACACAGCCACATTTCCATAAATTCTGGTTTAGTAAGTGGAGACTTTTGAGATGTGCATACTATGAAAGAAGTATGGAATAAAGGATTCTTAACAGTGTCCATGGATGGTGATACACTTTCTTCCTTAAATTCACTCTGTCCCCACCATAGGGAACAGGAGTAAGGGAGGAAACTAAGAAGATCACTCAATAATTCCTGACTCCTAAAACAAAACAGAAAACTTATGCTAGCTGAAGAAGATAGCCTAAACTATTTTGTAAATTAAAAACCTACTTTTTCAGGTTGAAAATAGTTGAAATAAACAAGCCTCATCAAGAATTTGCAGTATTTGGGTTTGAATGGCTGCCTAAGAAGCGAGACAGACAAAAAAGCAAGAAAGCCAAATTTAGCTGCTAAATAATAATAATAATAGCTTTTATATATAGACTTTTCAATTTTATAATACTTTTAAATATTACTGGGAAATGCCAGATCTTAATTCCAGAATGCTCTATGGCATCTTCATTAGGAAGTACAATTTCAAGCTGGAACCCAGGTGAATGATGTCTCTCAGAAACCACAGCAGCTAGGGAGGTGCAGAGATGTGCTGTGTATTTGGGTATTTTGGGTTGGAGGGTGGAGGACTCATATTTTAGGGTGTAGAGCACTTTGTCCAGTCTACAGTTACCAATGCATTAAGTAAACCATACTTATAATCATTCTTGAAGAATGTTAATTGATATGCATTACCAGTATCTATGTATTGCCATCTATTCCAGCTGATCCAGAGCATAACCTGGTGTCATATTGTAGAGCAAAAAGGGTTTTTTATACTCACTGAAATCAATGTTCCCCTAAATCAGGGCAACACTGGAGAACCATGTATTTCCAGATAAGTTAATTAAGTGGGTATTCTAGAGCCAGATTGCCTGGCTAAAATTCCAGCTCTACCATTTAGTAGCTGTATGAATTCAGCAACTAACTTAGCCTCTCTTCACCTCAAATTCTTCAACTGTAAAATGGGGATAATAAAAATATCTACCTCATAATGCTGTGGAGTCAACATCAAATGAGTCAACATTTTCAAAACATGAGTGCCTGGTCCATGATAAGTACTCCATGGATGTTAGCTTTTAATATTAATCAAATATTGCAAAACAGGAGATAGAAGAAAAGAATGTTGGTGTCATCAGTCCAGGTATCTGAGACTCTGATATTCACCTATAACACAGAAGGGCTTTCGAGCAAACCTCAGTCTTCCTTGCCATCCTCTATACCGACAACAGCAACCCGCGGACCAGATTCGAATGATGAACTCCAAACCAAAGACGACAATCATCACGAACTCCTAAAATATCAGATAAGACATATCAGAGAGAAGCATTATGAAGCAAACCACAGTAAGAAGCTCTATGGATATTTTTGGACATTTAGGCACTTTGTCTAAAGGATCTAGTTGTTAATATCTAAAGTTAAGAACATTTCCTTTCTCCAAATCAAACTAAATCTGGAGAGCATTTGAACCTCATACTGTCTGCATTTCCTATCATGGAATGCTCTTCCTTTTCAAGTCACTAATACTTTGCAAATTTGGGAGTCAGTTTCAATACTAAATGTGCAGGCTGAATAATGGATCTCTCTCTTCTGGAATTTATAGTGTAGCTGACTTTAGCTACCCAGTAACATGTGAAATATCCGAAATAAAATAGCGAATCCTGAAATATAATGGCAAGTTTTACAGAAAATAGAGCTTCATTTTGCTGCAAGGAGTGACATAATCTCTACATCTTCGAGAGTTGTTCTCAGAGAAAAAGAAGCAAATATTTAGAAGTATACTGAATTCTTTCATTACAGTGTCAAAATCCCCTTAAAAAACAGTAAGTTTCAAAAGTATTACAGTGTAAGACACATATCCTTTGCCAGAAATGAGACCCTGAATCCTTCCGATCTGAAGCTTGTTAATTATTATGCTGCCCTTTGGCAAGAGCTGCCTAGAAAACAACACCTGCTCCAGGAAAATGACTGAGATTATTTAGGAAGAGTTGTGAGTTAACCCTGGGGAAAGGCCAGCTAAAGTGGCTCATTAAACAGTCAGTGATAGAATGAAAAACCAAATGGAATTTGTAAAACGAAAGCATTTCTGGAGCAAGCTTAGCACGGTCATCTTGTTGTCCCTATAGGAACAAGCACTTAATTTATCAAAATTGTTTTTCCTTTAAAAATAATTCCCTTTCTTGTTTTAAAGCAAGGGTTGATTCAACATTTATAATGTAGAACAATATTTATAGATTTTTATCATAATATCTTAATTGTAAAAGTAATATATTGTCTTTATTAAAACTTCCAAACATCACAGAAATAGAAAGCAGAGAAAGTAAACATTCTAACCTAATCCCCACTCTCCCATTCTACTCGCAGGATAAAAACTGTTACCAAATTTATAAAAGTGGCATTTTTGTTGCAAATTTCAGGCAAATGTCTGTTTCTTTAGTTAGAGCATGGGATGATATGCTGCACTTTTGAAAGGACTAGTAGAGCTATCATTCTATCCTTCTTTTATTTTGCACTAAGTAATCCACAAATATTTCTCATGATGGGAAATAAATATCCAATATCATCACTGCTTACTCACCGTTATTCAAAACTACTTATAGGATAAACCTTCAAAGATGACTTTATGCAGATAACCAAAACGAGGGTCAACATACACTCATTAATAATCCGAAGGTTTTGTCTGGTTTTGGCTTTGTTTTGGTTTTGAATGTATATCTGGCTAGTTGAGTCTGTTCATTTATTAAGGTATATAAAATGCCAGATCATTTGTTGTTAATCCAGCACATCTTTCCAAATACAGAAAACATACTCAAGCCCAAAATGCCCATGTAGTTGTAACTGTGCCCAACTTAGGTTAAATGGCAGATCCACTTTTTAATCCCTGCCCCTAATTCCTACTTATGCCAGGACATTTGGAATGCCAGTTGTGAGTACTCATATTATAAGGGATCCCAAGAAAATCCCAAATGTGGTCTGTGTCCCTGAACACTACTGTGTAGTAATTTTTGTTTTTCATGGAAACAGATGACACCAGTATGTCCACTGTTCTTAACAAATGACAGATGCCCATTGTTCTTAGGTATGTCAAGGTCACTGCACTATTCCTATGTTGCAGTAAGGCAGGATTAAATTACATTTACAAGTTCTTTATTCAAGCCCTATTGTTCAGAAATATTGTTTGCTGCTTTTTTTTTTAAGGAGGGAGGGAAAAATGACAGGAGAGTCTCAAAATTCATAAAGCGAAACTAATAGGGTTGAAAGGAAAAATAGACAAATGTTAAGTCGTATTTGGGGACTTCATTAACACACCTTATCCTTGCTCAGAACTATGGGCATAGAACTACTAGAAAGAAATTTAACAAATATGTGAACTATCTGAACAACACATTCAACCTACAGGATCTGACGGATATGAGACATTTCACCTAACATCAGCAGAATACACATTTTTAAAAAGCATCTATGCACATTTATTAAGATAGATTATGTTCTGGGTCATAAACAAATTTCAACAAGTTTAAAAGAATAAAATCAGACAGAATGTATTCTCAAGCCACAATGGAATAAAACTAGAAATCAATAACAGAAAGACAAAAAATCTCTAAACATGTGGAAATTAAACAATATTATTCTCAGTAATCCATTAGTCAAAGAGAAAGTCTCAAAAAATTAAAAAAATACATTGAACTGAATGAAAATAAAAAATGATATAACAAAATATGTAGGATGCAGTAAAAGCAGTGCTGAGAAGAAAATTTATAGCACTAAATGCTTACATTATAGATGAAGAAAGGTCTCATATTAATAATCTTAGTTCCTACCTCAAGAAATTGGAAAAAGAAGGGTAAAATAAACCCAAAGGAAGAAGACAGAAGGAAATAATATAGAAAAGAGCATAAATTAATGAAACTGAAAACAGGAAAACAATATGGAAAATCCATGTAACAAAAAAGTAGTTCCTTGAGAAAATCAACAAAGTTGATAAATCTCTTTCTTGAAAGCTGACAAAAAATCCCCAGTGTCAGGAATGTAATAGGGGATATCACTACAGATTCTACAGCCACTGAAAAAATGAAGGAGTACTATGAGTAACTTTATGCACATACACTTGATAACTTAGAAGAAATGGACCAAATACTGTAAAACTACAAGCTACCAAAACTCAACAAAGAAGAAATAGACAACCTGGGTAGCCCTATAACCTCTAAAGCAATTGAATTGATAGTTAAAATCTCCCCAAACAGAAATGTCCAGGCCAAATGGTTTCACTGGAAAAATCAACCAGACATTTAAATAAGAATATATCATTTTCACACAATTTCTCCCAGAAAATAGAGGAGAAAAAACTTTCTCAATCTTTTTATGAAGTCAGTATTACCCTGACACCAAAACCAGACAAAGACAATAAAACGAAGCAAAACAAAAACTACGTACCAATGTATATCATAAACTTAGACACAAAAATCCCCAACAAAATATTAGCAAATATTTTTGCTAGTCAACCAGTCAATATATAGGCAAGTAGGATTTATTCCAGGTATGCAAGGCTAGCTCAATGGTTAAACTCAGTCAATATAATGCATTATATAATAAAGCTAAAGAAAAAAATATAACCATATAAATTGATGAAGAAATAGCATTTGACAAAATCCAACACCCATTTATGATTAAAAAAACTCTCAGCAACTTAGGAAAAGAGGTTTAACAGTTTAATTAGATAAATAGCATTTACAACAAACCTAACATCATACTTAATAGTGAAAGACTGAATGCTTTTCCCTAATATTAAGAACAACCAAGATGTATATTTTCATCACTCTTACTCAACATAGTATTGTAAGTTATATTAATAGTTGCTGCAATAAACCAAATAAAAGAAAAAAAAAAGGCACGCAGTTTGGAAAGGTAAACATAAAATGGTCTCTATTTACAAATGACATGACTGTCTACAGAAAAATCCAAAGGAATCTACGAAGACACCCTTGAAACGAGTGAGTTCACTAAGGCTGCACGATATATGATCAATGTAAAAAATGAATCATTTCTTTATACTAACAATGATCATATGGAAATGAAAATTAGAAACAATATTATTTATAATAATTCCAAATAAAAATAAAACTTAAATATCCACTTAGAAAAACACACACAGTTTGTGTGCATTGAGATTACAAAATGCAGATAAAAGAAATCAGAGAAGACCTAAATAAGTGAGGAGAAATACCGTGTTTATGAATTGGAAGACTCAACATAGTAAAGATGTCAATTCTTCCCAAATTGATCTACAGGTCTAATAAAATTCCTGTCAAAATCTCAGCAATTTTTTTGGGGGGGTAGATACAAACTTATTTTAAAATTTATATGGAAATGCACAGGACCTGGAATAACTAAAGCAATGCTGTCAAAGAAGAATAAAACAATATCAATCACTTTACCTGATATTAACGCCTACTATTATAGCTCCAGTAATCAAGACTGTGGATTGGTGGAGGGATAGACATATAGAACATATAGACATATAGAACAGTGAACAGAATGGAGAATTCAGAACTAGACCCACACAAATATGCTCAATTGATTTGTTTTAAAGGTGAAAAAGCATTTCAATGGAGGAAGAAGAGCCCTCAACAAATGATGCTGGAAAAATTGAACACCTATAGGCAAAAAAGTGGACCTTAATCTATACTTCCTATCTTATGAAAATCACTTAAAAATGGACCATGGGTTTAAAAATTAAACATAAAATAATAAAACTTGTAGTAAAAAAAAAAAAAAAATGGAGACGGCTGGGGGCGGTGGCTCACGCCTGTAATCCCAGCACTTTGGGAGGCCTAGGTAGGCGGATCACGAGGTCAGGAGATCGAGACCATCCTGGCCAACACGGTGAAACTCCGTCTCTACTAAAAATACAAAAAATTAGCCAGGCGCGGTGGTGGGCGCCTGTAGTCCCAGCTATTCGGGAGGCTGAGGCAGGAGAATGGCGTGAACCCGGGAGGTGGAGCTTGCAGTGAGATTGCGACACTGCACTCCAGCCTGGGCGACAGAGTGAGACTCCGCCTCAAAAAATAAATAAATAAATAAATAAATAAATAAATAAATAAATAAACTGGAGACATTTTTGGGATTTGGACTAAGCAAAGAGTTCTTAGTCTTGACATCAAAAGCAGAAGTTATAAAAGGAAAAAATGAGAAATTGGACTCCATCAAAAGTAAAAACTTACTCCATGAGAGCCCAGGTACTTAGGATAAAAAGACAAGCCATAGACTGGGAGAAAACGTTTGTAAACCACATAT